GAGATTTAAAATCAGTATTTGATTCTATTATTTGCAAAACAGTGGCACCATGCATTTTTCAAACACAGGAAACACCCTGAGTACTGATGATTTGGGAGAAATGCTGAGAAGTGACAGTGGTTCATTGTCCCAAAAAGTCTGAGTGTGACAGGATTAAACAGTATATTAGCACTAGGAAGGGACAAATTTTGGTTTCTCATTTTCTTTGTAACAAAAATAAATAAATGCATATACGAAGAAAAAAGATGAATGCACTTCTAATATTCAGACACTGTACTGACCTTTAAAGGACTGTTCTGTACCACGCAAGCTGTGGAGTGCACTCTAGTGGCCAAACGCATAACAAAAAAATTAACCATATTTTCAATTTAGGGACAGACATATTTGCAATCAGAGGTTTATATAGGTTTATATTAAGTTTATATATTTTTAGAAAGTTTTAGAAAAGAAATAATACATATTTCAAAGTCAAGAAGCCACTTCCTTCAATCTATGGGTCAAATTCTGAGGTCTTTACTGAAATACTTATTGATCCATTCCACACAAACCCATACTTTTTACTGTTTACATTGAAGAGTAAGGACTAAAATACGATTTTATCCTAAACTAAAGCTATCATTTTAGTGGAACTACATACGGGACAAGGTGGAAGCCAGATTTGCCTTTTACATGTGGGTGAATCAGTCAGAGAGGTAATTGATCCTATTTTACAGTGTTGCTGCTGCCAGCAAACATAAATAGCATATATTAAAAAAATTAATTATAAGAAATCATTATCTTTTATTATTTGGAATTACCATTCTAACACTCTATTTCAAAATGCATTTTGTAGACATGAAAGACATTTTACTTGTTCCAAAAATTTATCCTTAGCACAGTTTATTGCCTTTTAATATTTTAGAGTTTTAAAATATAAAAAGGCAATAAACTTGTATGAGAAAAGCCAAAAAAGACTATTATTTTCCATATTTGTATTTCCCTTTTTTTCTTTCTTTCTTTTTTTTTTTTTTTTTTTTTTGACTTTAACTGGAGGGAGGAAGACAAAAGTAGGTTTCCCTTGAAAAGATGGCGAATTTCTGCATACTAAAAATGACATTTTCTTCCAGCTGCAGAATCTCTTTCAAGCATTCTACTGAAACAATGGTATATCTTTTATTGCTATATACTGATTAAACTAATTGAAATGAGATTATAGCTTAAAATAATGACTTGCAATATGATACACTTATTTAATATATTTCTTTCCATTAAATAACCCAAACAAAATCTGATTTATTGGCCAAACGCAACTCTAAATGTTTTCAGCAGTGATTAGCCAAAAGAGTTTTAACAAAACTAGAGCAGCATTTTTCTAATCCATGTAACAATTCAACCTCCACCTTGAATTTTATGTTGAAAAAAAAAAAAAGAAAATCCAGGAAAAAAAAAAAAGAAATTCAGCTAATGATATTTTTATGCACAGTATTGTCTCACCAATTTAAAAGTGCAAATCAAATCATTTTCATTAAAAACCAAGTCAAATCAAATTATCTCTAAACGTTTCAGATACATTTTTGATTTGCACATATATTCTGAGACTGAAATGTAAATTTTGCACCTCAAGGATGGTGAGATGCATCATTAACAGTATAAACCAAAGGTAATTGTCATTGCCAAATCCTGTGCTCCTCCAATTCTAGATCACAAATGTAGTCAGCATCTACGCAGAATTATTACCTATTATAAGAAAGATACTGTAAACACGTGCCACTCAGCACAGAAAATCCTGAGCAAACTAAAAGGGGTATGTCAATACAATGCCTTGTGAAAATGGTAGTTTAGGTTCTGGGGGGCAGTGGATACACAAGTTTGGTATTACAGTTTTGCTAATTTTATCCAGTGAAAGCAGAACACAGCATCTCTATCCTGTCTCCAAGACCTAAGTGACAGTCTACCGTGTGGTGCTGCCACATACGCCTACTTGTTTCCTCAAAATTCCTCAATAGAGAATTTCTTTTGCAACATCAGCTGATGGTTGGCTGCCTCAGGACATCCGTATTAGTCAGAATATCTACAGAGTTACAAGTTCAGTTTGAACCTTGACACGTATAGTTCGCCACCCCTTTTAATACTGTATGAACTATCCTCCTGTTGCCTATAAACCACAGGCATTACATTTCAAACAGATATTCATTTATGAAGTACAAAAGTCTGGATCAGACCAAAGCATTTCCAAAACTCAAACAGGAAATAGGAATCTTTAAGCAAAGACTATGTTCATCTAAGTCTTGCTAATGTCCAATGCACCCATGGTGCCCAGGTGACAAATGTGCAGATGATCCCATACCGCACATTCTTCCAAGCTGCCAGCCAGCCTGATCGTGCCTGGATTTTCTCCCAACCTGTAACGTGGTAGTCACTGCGGCCGCACCATTAAGACACACAAGGCCTTACCCCACACCTCCACCATTTTTGAACTCTGGGCTATCAAACTTATCTCTGCTGTTTCAGATGTTTCAGAGATGCGCACTACATGTGATCGCTTGTGTAAGAGGGGAAAAATACTTCTGACATGCACTTGACTCCAAGATGCAACTATACCCACAAATGCAGAATGTCGAGGGTTACTTGCATTTGAAGGGAAACTAATCCTGTGCTAATCCTCTTCTTTCCACGGGCCAGGAAGGAAGACGACAGATTCCAAGGTCAAAAAGAGGTCAAATGTACTCACTAAATCTGACACACTGATGTAGCAGACATACCAGGTGTTTATGTCTTTTAAAAATTCATCAGACTTTGAAGGAATTTCAGGTCTTCAGATTTTCAAGACTCCATTTAAAGTCTACTGTTTCCACCAGTAAGATCTTCCAGTGTTTTATTATTGTTGCTAGGACACTCCATGCAAGATTCAATAGCTGTTCGATTTAAATTTTTGGCCATTAGCTCTTGATGCATGTTGGTCAGCAAAATTGAGAGAACGCTATCTCCTCAATATATTTTAGTGAATGGTTAAGTTACCTTTCCACCTTGTCTTTGGCAAACTACGTTCACAGAGAGCCTTAACATTCATACGACAAGGCTTGCTTTTTCGGCCGCTCCATGTTTTTTTATGGATTTCCTTTGATTTTCTTCTAGTATTTAAACATAATTCTTATCCTACGAAAACTAGATCTGTGGATGACATTCTAATAGCAATATCAACTATATAATTTGCTTTCTGCTTGTATTTGATCATTCTATAGCATCCGAGCCCTTTTTGTCAGTGTCACACTGACAGCCTATAGTGAGGCATTAACTAGGATAATCTTGGCCATTTATGTTAGAGACAAAAAGCTCTCCCACATGAACTACCTGGCATATAACTAGTTGATTCAGATCACTCTGGAACAGTAACCAAGTGTACTATTTATTAATCAACAGTCTTGGTGTCTCTGCAACGCTCATCAATAAAAACATGTTTTGCAACATTTTCCACAAAGATTTGAAGAGGGATAGAGCTCTGTACCTCCTTTTATCTTCCTCAGAAGGGAATTCTCCCCATTTCAGTCAAGAATTTCAGAGCCCCATACACTGTATTGTAAAATACAGTGGATGTTACTATAAGTGTTTTTCTGCAAGTTTCTAAACTGAATTGTAGGTAGAGTTAAAATGCACCTACACAATTTATTATACAATAGGAATCAATAATATACTTTAAATCTAGCTTTTCTTTTCACCTCACACTATTTTCTTCAAATTAGAAAACGATCTAAGATGAGGCATTATCCTATAGGGCAAAAAGCTACATTACTCTTTCTAATATCTCAAATTACAAACTCTTTTATTCCAGCTTTTGTGTTTCTTACTAGCACCAGACACCCTCCTACGTCTTCCTTCTACCGCTGTGCTGACCCCTTCTCAAGATTTTGAAAACAGCATTATCTGTTTCTGAGCATTACAAAAGCTCACAATCAGGATGCTGCATATGAAGAAAGAACAACAAACCCAGAACTGATACATGAATACTGATATTTTGAATAGTTACAAACTGCTTACTGGTTTGGATTTTTTTTCCCCACATAAACACATGCTAACATAACACACAAAAATCAGGATATTCTTTACCTTTCCCAGTATTTGTTACTGGAAGAGGTCGTTTCCCTAGTACTTGTATCAGATATTTCTCTACAAAAATTTTCCTGTAGCAAAATATTGTACCAGTCATTTCTACTCATAGAAACGGCTACCAGCTTCCACTACAAAAGTCAGTATTTCTTAGTTGTTTACGATTACTGCAGAAAGCAGGTCTTCTAGGTGACAAAACAGATATACATTTAAAGAAGTTAAGAAAAACATTAGCTCTGAAAATAAAAATGTTAAAAATATATAATTCAATGACAGATACAAATCTTTAGAAGCTAAAACCAGTATCAGCTAAGCAAAAATGCTAAATGGAGTTGTTCTACACATTTAAGTGCTTTAAAACATAAAACTTATTTAATGCAATGTAATATTTTTTCTAAAATGACAAACTTTTAATTATATTTTTGAGATTCAAAGTATATATTTATTTACTAATAAAAATATGATCAATTACATTCCAATGATTAACGAAAATCTAAGTGGCAATAATAATTTGGCATACATAAGGAAGGAAAGTACTAAAATAGATTTATTCTGTTGTGGACAGTACATAAGCTGCCTGAAGTTTTTATAGAATTTAACTTTATCTGAGCTCCAAAATTAGAAGCAAATTTCAGCAGAATAAAAATACGATAATGAAAAAAGCTGAGAATAAAAATGTAATTATTCAAATACCATAAAGAAACCAGTTTTCTTTAAGCATTCATTTTAGTTCATATCACTGAGTTTAAATGAGGTCTTAGCAAGTATTGAGGTTTATTATGCAAAAAGTGATTGTGTGTAGTCATGTAATAAAATTGATTAATCCTGTGTGATAGCACCCAGACCAACAATAAAAATTATATTTCTTTTTCTTATTAATGCACTAGAACAAAATTAAACATTTAGAGTAATCTTACCAGAGCTCTGCATTTCACATTTATCTTTCTTTCAGGTGGTGCAGGTATGCTGTTAATCTTCAAGGAAAACCACACTTTGCAACATGAAGAACTTCCTCCTATGTTAAAGAGAATAAAATGTTCTAGAAATCATTTCACGAGGCAATGAATTCTAGTAGCATTCAAATCAGTGATAAATTTTGACTTCTACCAGAATGGCCACTGAGACAAAGCAAATCATGAACTATAATTGCTTTCAGCAGACTGTGTTATCTAATCCTTTCTTGTTTGGCTTCAAAATAGTAACAAAACCAATACATAAACAACTTGAGTGGAAATAGAATTTTGGCAAACTTAGTTTCCCAGAATATAACATTATTTCAGAATGTTAATATTACTGATTCATAGCTGTTTTCCCTCAAGAAAGAGAATACTAAAAGCCATTGAAAATTAAAATTTTTATTTGAAGTTTATCTATGACAAATGCAAAACTACAAATTAATAATTAAATAGGCCAGAAGTTTTAGTTACATAGAATCCAGCCTCATACATATGTTTGAACATATATTGATTTATACTGCAATGCAATTTTGCATCAGGTTTTCACATGAGATGTCCTGAATTCTAAATATTGGGATAACAAATAAATTTGCATTAAAGAAACTGAGAATGCTGCAAGAAGCTATGTACATGCAACAAAACAGTACCAGCATCTACATTATCTTATTAGATCAGATTCATTGTACATTTCGTCCCAAGCTCCTTTATGATCACAGACTAGTAAAACCTTTGCCAGAAAGAGACACAATAAACTCTGGAATCCCACTTCTAGTTACAGGATAACTTGATCACAGATCCGGAAGACTGATTCTCTTCAGTATTTCATATTATCTAGTCCAGAAGGAGATCTTTATGAAGTTGGTTGATAATGTCAGCACTTTCTCTCTTTCTCTTACTTTCTTTTTCTCTCTCTCTCTCTTTCTCTCTCACTCATACACACACACACACAAAATTCTGCTGATGCTAATGATAAGAAATCGTTAAGTGATTGGAATTTGTGTGAATGCTACAATTAGGGCCAGCAACAGGAAAGTGGGTACTGCCATTAACCATGGGAAGCAGAGCCAAGTAGATCTTTGAGATGGAGGCAGACCCGTTTCCACATCAGATTGACAGTATTTTATAAATTCAGATAATATTAAGTAAAATTAAATCAAAATTAGTTCATCTAATCTAATTAAGTCTAATTAGTTCATGTTTGGTATACCAGATAACTTAAATTCTGTCCAGTTACATAGAATTGTTGTTACACAGATTCAGTCAAGCAATCTGTGTTTTGTTAAAGCACACCTTCTAGAGTGACTTCAAGTTTTGATTTGGAGATAACTGCTATTAGTTTGTTCTAGTGTCTAATTACCAGCATGAGAAGACACTTACATATGAGACTAATTTCTGATTTCTATTCGACTTGCTTCACCTTCCAGCAGAAAGTCCTTGTTAACCTTGTCAGTCTTTCTCTGATAAATTTAAGAGATCTTAAGAATCTAGCATTTTCCTGTATTTAGAGAATACTCATGAATGTAAATCAAACTAACTCTTCAATCCTCTTCAGATAAGCTAAGGAGATTAAGCCCAAAGTTCCTCATCTAAGGCCTGTTCTCCACAACACAAATATCTTCTGTGGTTATTTTCTGCAGCCTCTCTAAATATAAAAGGTTGTTCAGCACCTTTTAAAAACGCATACACAAGAACTGCTTGCGGTATTCAAGTTTGCCAGTATATCGTATGAGATGAAAATAACTGCCATACTCCTACTCACATGCCCCTGAATTATACACTGGAGAGCTACATTAGCATTTCTGTTCTAGTATGGCACTGGTCTTGGGAGCTCCTACTATTTTTCTTTTCCGCTGTGTCCCCAGCTCTTCTTAGAGTAATTGCTTTCCTTGTTGCCGTTCATCATTCTGCACATGTGACTACTTCTAAACCCTGTTTCCAATTAAACTGTGTCTGACTGGCTTTAATTACATTACAGTTCTTTAAATCTTCATTGAATAAATTCTGTATTAACTTGTCCATTTTTTTGTTTAGGAAATTTGATATCCATACAATTTGCTATTTTTGAATACTAGGAGAATATTAAAGTCTTTCAGCCCCTGGAACATCTTCAATATTTCAAGATCTATAAAAATTAACATTAGTGAGCCAAAGGCATCTGCAAATCTCCCTTTAAGGATTCTGGTAAGCAAGAAACTCTGAGTTTATGCATTTAAAAAAAAAAGTGATAAAATAGTATACAGAATAGAGATGACTTATCATGCAAGGAGAGAGGCTCTTACACCAAAACAGAACCAGTCATCTGGAACCTAAAATTAAAGTTTTCAAACAAAGACCAAGAGAAAACCAAAAATGTCCTGCAGTCTAGGGCATCCCATCCTTTAAGAATGCAGTCAAACTGTAGGAAAGGATAGAACAGAAGTTTAAAAAACTTAGGCAAAAAACAACAAGAGAAAATGTCCATAACAAAATATATATTAATAATATATATGTATATATTATACAATATGCTTATATACAACACAGTATATAAATATGTGCTTTTATACAAACATAAGTCTAAAAATATGGTGTGTGAACCATATTTTCTGGTTCATAAAATATACCATATGGATATTTGAATTATAATATTAAGAGCTTATTATCAGAAACTTAGTGGAAGGAAGGTAACCAGTAATAAATTAGTAATGAAAGGCTATAAAACTATCTGAATGACAAATTAAGTAATATCAGTCAGGGAACAGCAATATCAGTAAAGTTGCTTCCAGTCAAATAAGCATCAAATATATCCCTAAATTCCTGCAGATTACATTTCTTACTTACAAAGGATAACTATAATATTAGGACCATATTACTGATAAAGTACCGACGGTGTCTGTGTCTGCAGTATAGTATACTATACTATAGTATCAGAAACCAGGTAATCTCTAAGGACAGAAAATACATTAAAAATAGGGGACTTGACAATGAACAGAGGCAAAGAATGATGTGAAAAAGCTTCCTTGTGGTATACAAATCCTTTAACTACATTTGCTCCCTAGGATAGATATTTTTAATAGCATCCTCAGTCTCTAATAAACTACTGGAAGTATGTTATCTCCAATTTGTTATGAGTACTTTTGCTAATGCACAACGACAAGTTTTGTGGAAATTTGTTATTTGCTGTTACAATGCTACACCTTCCAGAAGTTAATACATCTATAGTGCTCCCAAGATCTTTTCTCTGTATATACTTAAACCCTGCTTTATTATCTCTGATCACAGATATTTCCTATGTGTTCTTAACCTTCCTGAATCAATAGTCTATACTTCATAGTTATTGCAATGCAGAAGTTGTAATCTACTTGCCTTTTTTCTTCTTACTTTTATATATAAATTATAAATATAGGCAATTATATGGTTCTGTTCACACATATTGCTTAAAAATACACTAATTGCTGGCTTTTGTTGCTTCCCCTCTTAGCTGTGACTTCATGGATTTTGTGCTATTAAAACCTTTTTTTTAAAGGAACTCTTCATTTCTTTTTTTTTTCTTTTTTGAATTAAATGTATAGCTCCACTTAATTTCTCTTCAAATTTTCCTCCTTTTTTGGAAATCATTTATCTTTTCTGAGGCCATAGATAAACGCACAGCCCAGGGATCATCTTTGTGGCAAACATGTCTCTTGCTTGGAGTTAGAATCTTGTATGCATCTTTAAATGCTAATAAATATTTTCAGATACTTTAGATCACACTATTATTTGCATTACACCTTCAGGAGCTATTTCCTGAACTGAAATTGCCAAATACTTTTATTTACGCACTTTCTTTAATATGTGGAAAGAATAATTCCTCGTGTTTGCAGATTTGGTCTTCTGTTAAAACGTCTCCACTCCCTCCAAAATCAGGCATTTTTTAAATTAGTAGGTTAAACTACATGCATTCAAAACCTCCCACTTATAACTCAAACTCAGGTGACAGTGATTGTTCTCATAGTGTCTCTGCTTATTCCTTTACCTGTTTCACCCAATCTCAGTCTGACACTGATCTTGTGCAATTAGGAGGGGTTTTGTTTGTTTTATAACATCGTAGTCCTTCAAGCGTAACTGTTCAGTAATGCTGTTCAATTATTCTATTTCCAAATTCTATGAAAATATTTAATTTGTCTTCCTTGTTATGCAGGTGTCCTGTAATGGTAATTAAGCAACTAGCAATTTTGTTCTATGCTATCTCTCCCATTAATTCAATTTGTCCGTAACATGCTGAGTGCAAGTCCACATTGTACATGGTTTACAATGGCCTTCTAGTAGAACTACTACTTTCCAAATCAGAGGGTTAGTCCCAGGCTCTGTTGCCTTTCCCATTTCCTTTCTCTTCCTGCCACACGGGTTGCTCTCGTCGTTGTGGAGCGTGGCCTAATATTTCACAACATCAGAACTTTCACAATTGTACTAGACTTCACAGAGCAAAGTTCACTTTCAATGTCTTCTGCCTTCCTCTTTATGTCTGTGTTTTGTTTGTTTTTTCAAATCAGCAAAGCAATCAATAGTAGCACCCACAACCCATCTTTCTGTTCCAGCAAAACCTGAAAAATGCATATTTAATCACAGTCCTCTGAATGGATGATACAGGTGCAACACTTGAGCTGTGCAGGAGTGAAAGAAGGCTGTAAATGAGTTGTTCCAACCAATATTTTTATGGTCACGAATAACCTGGAAATTCTCTGCTTAAGAAGCATCTTTTTGCAGTTGAACTCTTTACCACTATTCCTACAAGTATGGTTTGTTATTTAGCTTTAAAATTTTATGAAGTCTGATATCATTCTGTTACTTTTTACTCAGAAAAAGCTGAATGGTTGCTTTGCCTCCCACTTGCATTGTTAAAAATCCAAAACTTATGGTTGCACTCCCACTAAGCCTTAAACCTGATTCCAAGGAGTACCTTTACAGGCGAATCCTACCTCAGGTCTCTATGCATGCAGTTGAATGGGCTACCCTAAACCCAATTTATTTTAAGTATCTTCATTCTGAAGTTATTGCAGCCTGATTTTACTGTGAATTTCCTTCTCTTGCCAAGCACATT